TATTTTAGTCTTTGATAGAGAACAAGTAACTGTCTACCTCATCTAATGCTTTCTCCCTTTCTCTCATATTGCAGATGCTCTATTCACATTTGGTTTAATTCGTTGCCAAGTTACATCCACAAATGAATTTGTGTATCTGGAACAATACTACTTTAATAAGAGGCTTATTGGCCAGTACAACAGCTCCTTGGGAAAATATACCAGCTACGTTGAATACACAAAGAACCTTGTAGACGAAATTAACAACCCATCTCTTTTGGAACGCAAGAATAAGGATTTGGAGAAATGCAGAAGCCACATATCACTATTGGAAGTCTTTTTAAATCCAGGTAATTGGAGAGTTGAAACTTTGGTAATGCTTCAGATTAAATACTGCAAATCACAACCTATGTATTGAGTGTGTGGTATCAATAAAATACGTACAAAGTACCTACAGTATGACAATTAATTACTGTACATGCAAGAAGAAATTAGAGAATAGCAACTTTGTGTTCCAAGAATCAATTCAATTATTGTTCCTCAGAAGTGGCTTTTTGGACCTCACTGTATGTTTAAAATCCGTGCTTCAGATGAATAGTATTCAGACAGAGAAGGACATAATTATGACACCATAACTTAATACTAGAATAAATGCAGTGCTATGACTTTGATTGTGCTCACTGAAAAAGGGGAAAGTAAAGAAGCAGCAAAAAATATTCTTGGTATTTCTACATCATCATAATTCAGAAATGGCAGTTTTCCTCTGGAATTTTTCAGCCTTTTGGGGCATTAAAGAGTTTCAGCTCATTTGGTGTCTGTCTGACCACATGTTACTATTTAGGTGTTCATTGGCAGCTGTTTTTAGGTAAAAGAAATCCCCCCAAAAAAACCCAATGATAACATGATGTTAGCCTGCTCATGGAGTATGGAAACAACACCGAATATGAAGAATATGATCTGAAACTTTACAAAAGCTGTTAAAAGTTGATGTAATCTTAAATTATGAGTTGTTGAATTGTATTTCAAACACAGTTATGGAAAATCTTTCTATATTAGTTAATACCTTCATTTGAATATAATGGATTTTTTCTGAGACATTAACCAGTATCTAAAGTATTTAACAATGTACTTTATGTTCTAACTTACACAGTAATTGTAAGTCAACCCTGAATCCAAATGTGTTAGACAAGACGATTGATAAAAGATCTGTGATTTCATCAGCTGGTTTGTCTCTGGGTGTTTTCCTCCAGTCAAGCCCTATGTCAGACTGAGATCAGCTAAGGCAGAGAGCGGCAGACACCCAAGCATCCTCGTCTGCAGTGTGTACAACTTCTATCCCAAACAAATCCGAGTGACATGGCTGAGGAACGGAGAGAAGGCGACATCTAATGTGAAGTCCACTGACGAGCTGGCCAACGGGAACTGGCTCTACCACGTCCATTCCTATCTGGAGTATACGCCCAGACTGGGAGAGACAATCACCTGTATGGTGGAGCACGCCAGCTTTAAGCATCCCAAACTTTACGACTGGGGTAAGAGAGAGGCTTGGGGTGGAATGGACTAACTTTAATGTCACCTGAGAAAATGTGTTCTTGTGAATGTGAATTTATAAGGCTTGTACAGAGTGTAAATATGTGTGATAAATGTTTTTCAGAACCCCTGTCTGAGTCCGAGAGGACAAAGATCACTGCTGGGGCTGCAGGGATGCTGCTGGGTATTGTTGTTTTACTTGCTGGAGGGATTTACTACAAGAGGAACACTACTGGTGAGAGACAGCACTAAATTAATAAGAAATAAAGACAGGAAATTCAATATCTGCAGCAAAGACACAAACTGTGTAGAGATTTAGGGTTAGTTTAAGAACTGAGTTGTCTGAAGTGATATCATACATGTAAAAAAATAGTGTCATTATTTTAAAATCATATTCAAGTCAAACTTACCACTGATTATTTGCAGAAATAATCACCAAATAATAAGATTTAAAGTCAGCAATATCTGAGCCTGTTTCTCTCTTTGTTTTCTGTTTTTATTCTAGGTCGGGTGTTGGTGCCATTGAGTTAAGATTACATCTGTCTGCTGAAATATTTGTATCCAAACCAAAATGGCACAGAGGCAACAAGGTCATGTGGAGTAAATCACTCAGTTCTTTGGGTAAAAGAGTTTTACTCAGTGATTAATTTGTTGTAAATCTTCAGGAGTATTTGTGTTTTGATATCAATTTATTAGAAAAATAAGCTTTTATGATTGTGGTTCTCTGGTGTTCTGGTGAAGTGGAAAATATTAGTTCTCATTTTCTTTTGTTCAGTACAAGTCATAATGATTTAAGGGAGCAATTCTTTTTGTCATTCACATAAATTTGTTAGTGATATATATGGATGTTATTGTTTGAAAATGAGGGTTTGAGAATGTGGTTCTGGTTGCTATGAACGGCATCTTGTAAACCCAGCTACTCGTGATAGTCCAAGTCAGCTGCCAGTGCCAACAAGTTAAAGTAGGCGTTGACATTAAACAATCCTAAGAGTGTGTGAAACACTAAGGTCACTTATCTGCCTCAACAGTCAACATGTCCAACATGTTAAAATACAAAGCAGAAGTCAAAAGAAGCCTGATTCAATCCAGTGAGGAAAGTGTGTCTCTGTGTTTGTGGATTTTAAAATCCCTAAATGATTCATTACTCATATTCCTATTTATTCTGTAAATATAATTATCACATTCATCATGTCTGTTTGTGCAGTTGATACATCTCAGTAGTTTAAAAGAATTAACATCCAGACCTCAATAGTCAAATCACTGATTTCTCTGCACCTCTCCACAATATCCAACATGATTTGACCCACTTTCACTATGTCGTTTTGAGGCCCTCAGTACTGTCTTACAGGCAAGAGGAGCGTGCTGCAGTGCTGTGGCCTCAACAAGATAAGACAGATTGGATGCATTAGCCTTGTTTGATACGCATTCACAAAATAAAGAGGGAAAAGGGAATATCTTATCTGCATGGGTTGTCTTCAATGTCACACAGACGTCTTTCATTGCACTAATTTCATTTCCTAACAGGAACTGACCGTTGTGCTCATATAATGTGTTCTGTGGAGGTTCATGGGTTTTAAGGTGACAGATATGGGAGGATGCCTGTGGAAAAACTACTGTCAGTGCTTCACAACTGGGATCCCATTCTTTATAACCTCTGGGCCACCAGGAGGCCCTGAATGAATAAATAAATCACCTGTTGTGCACATCTAAAGCCTTTGTTTATATAACATTATAATAAATAAAATTATTTAATTAATTGATTCACAGAACATTTCTTTGTTTAAACTTATCTGAAATATGTTTCATGTTTCCTTTTGGTTCCAGATGTGAATGTTTTCATAGTAAGCTATATGTCTTTGGGTATTTACTTTCTCAATACTATATGCAATAATCAGTTGTTGCTGACATACAATTTTATATATTTTCAGAACCAGACAATTGTCAGATTAATCAATACTGACGACCTTTACCGTAGCTCATAAGTGCTTGATTATAACCATAGCTATAAAGATGGATGACGTGTCTCCACTTCCTCTACTATCCAGATATGAAGTCACAATATCCTGGATACAAACACCACCATCTAGCCCATTTGGGTCTGTGCAGTATAGATCAGGGAATGTAGACATCCAGACAATTTATGTTGGTTTTTTTTACATTTAAAAAAAACATTTACTTCAATTGTATTAGATTTGGCTGTTTACCCCTGAAACTTCAAAAGTGCCTTGTGGACTCAAACACTTGACCCACCCCTCCATCGGCACAGTGGTGAGCAGATAATGAGTGGATTGTCATTTTTGGGTGAACTGTCCAATGCCAGTTTCTGGTTTTCATCTTGCTTATCTTGTTAAATCATTTTAATGTTTTACCATTTGAAGTGTTTTTAGGGCAGGTGCAATATTCAGCTAACTTTTATTCTGCGTTATTATTCTGGGCCTTGTGTACTGTTGTTTGTTGTACAATGTACTCTTCTGCATCTGCTGTAGCACAAGATAGAAAAAGATACATATACACATTTATATATTTGTACAATAAAGTATATTTGATATTTGATTTGATCCTTTAATGTTGCCTGTCAGACACGGTGCAGGGCTCCTCTTCCTGCGCATGCGCTCTGAGGAATAATGAGCCGCTTTGGATTCTACTGTGTTTTCATCTTCTTACTGATAAAGAGCCCGAGCTTGATTCTCTTCTTGTGTTTCGCCATTTTTGTTTATGTTCACTGCAGAACGCGATAAAATGAAATGAAAGAGATCAAAGACAGTGACGAGAGAGAGACAGATTCTGGATGTAACCTACATTTAATTATTATTCCGGAACGCGTCATGGAACCTGTCGTCCTTGTCTCTGCGGCTCTGCATGGCGTCAGTCTGGAGTGATGGACTGTGCTGTTCCCGAGGTCGTCCCGAAGAACCACAACACTGGAGCACACACACACACACACACACACACACACACACACACACACACACACACACACACACACACACACTGGTTGCGTTTCCGAGCAGAGATAAGACGTAGGAGCCTGATGATAAGAGTCTTATAAACTCTGATACTCTCAGAGAGAAGATGTCAGCTCCTCTCAAACCACCACAGAGAAGGATTCATCTGATCAGCAGGTGAGACATGAAGAACAAGATTTATAAACCTTGATTTGTTTCTAATGACCTGCTCTCCATTCTGACTTATTGACCTATACTTATACATTTACCTATAATCTTACTAACTCACTAACTCCACTATATTTTCAAATGAGATTTATTGTAATTTCAAGACCCGTGAAACCTGGTCCTGTGTTAAACTCGTGTATTAAAGTATATAAAATACATTGAATTTGCTTCACCTGGGCTACAACATTAAAATACTGCGTTCATGTTAATACATGTATATAATCGAGTATTGATATTGAAAATGTATTTGTTTTCCTGAACAGTGGACATTTTTTATTTTATTTTACTTATTTTTAAACAGATAACATTTAATGGAGAATTTTGACAGAGTGATATTAATACTTTTATTTTACTAGCATCATGTCTTCCGTCTGACTTCAGTCTATCATCTACTGACGTTGAAAAGGCGGAAGTCTGAAAATATTTGGTATCTCTGCTTTAAATATAAATTAAAATAATACTTGGTTATGAAAACTGTTTATGAATGTGAACTTTTGTTAAAACATTAAAAGTTCATTAAATTAAAACTCCACTTTGATTTGATTGTAGCTCTTCATGCTACATGTTTTTCTCTGTTCATCTTTAATCTACCACACTGTAATGTTTTCATTGCTTCTCAGTCATTTTGACTCTTCCCCACCTCACACTGTTCTGCTGCTCTCTGCTTCGTCCTCTACCTTTTTAAACACTTCTCTCTATTCAACCCTCTTACTCTATTTTAGGTGATCCTCTTCTGTACTTTACTTTTTCTGCTACTTTCATTTACTATCCCCCTCTACTCCAACACCTGTATGAAAAAAATGATTGAATTAGAAGTTGTCAGTCTTTTCTGTTTTTAAAGGTACAGTGTGTAAAATTTAGTGATATCTAGTGTTTAAATTGCATGTTGCAGCTGAACACCCCTCACCTCACCCTCTCCTTCCAAACATGAAAAATAACCTGTGGTAGCTTCAGTTGTCATAAAAACTCAAAAGGTGTTTAGTTTGTCCAGTCTGGACTAATGTAAAAAATCATGGCGGCCTCCATAGAGAGGGTCCCCTCAATGTAAATATAAAGTATTTAAATATAAAGGACCTTTTCTGGGGTAAAGAAAACTGCAATTCATACAATTTAGATGAAACGAACTCGTGAAAACATCATGAGGATTATTCTACATTGAATATCTGCCAATAGATCCCTTTCATCTAAATCTTACACACTGGACCTTTAACTTATTTTAGCACCAATCCATAAATAAATCCAACTGATTTGAGTTCACTAACAGATCTTCCTTTTAGAGAATTGATGATACACATGTTTTTCCTGTGTATAAATGAGTGTTTTGTTTCTGTCCTCTCCACAGTGACACCTCCATCTCTGCAATGGGTCTCTCCCTGTCGGCGTTGTTGTGCAGCAGAGCAGCTGACAGTCCTCCCTCCTCTTCCTCAGCCTTCCCTCCGCTTGCCGTACCCACCTCGTCTCGCCTCGCGGTCACCCTGAACTCCTCCCCGGTCTCCCCGGGAGATAGCCGCTCCCACTGGAGCTCAGTCCACCGCTCTCCCCACCTCCTGCTCTCCGCCTGCAAGCAGCAGGTCACGCGTTCCCCCGTGGAGCTGAGCAGCGACGGGGTGAGAGCGGAGGTGGGGGTGAGAGGCGGCCTTCACATCTGGGAGGTGCTGTGGAACCCGGACCACAGAGGGAGTCACGCCGTCATGGGCGTCTCCAGGCAGGACTGTCCTCTGCAGGCCGCGGGGTACAACGTCCTGGTGGGTGGAGATGAACAGTCCTGGGGCTGGGAACTCAAAACCAATCAACTCTGGCATGGGGGACATAGTGTGGGACTTTACCCAGAGAAGACGAGGAGGTGTCCCTCTGATTTGAAGCCACATACTTCAGACAAAAAAGAAGCGGCGGAGACACCTCTCCCCATCCCTGAACGCGTCCTGCTGGTCCTGGACGCGGATGCTGGGACCCTGGGATTTGTTGTTGATGGCAGCTTCCTGGGGGGGGCTTTTAAAGGCCTTCCTCGTGGGGTGGAGCTGTTCCCAGCGGTGAGCAGCGTGAGAGGGGGGGCCAGCATACGACTGCGCTACCTGAACGGAGCCACACGTGAGTCCAGTCATTATTAAACAAGTACTAACAGAGACAACCAAGGTACGACTGTATCTTGGCTCTTATAAAACACATCCTGAAAAATGTTCCTTTTCTTCCATTCTCAGGTGACCCTCCAGCCCTGATGGCTTTGTGTGGACTGTCCATCCGTCAGTTTTTAGGGGAACAGAGGCAGAATCAAATGGACAAACTGCCTCTACCACCTCTTCTCCAGAACTACCTGCTTTCTACTCGTTAATCTGCAAACAAACACATGCACACATGCACACATGCACACATGCACACATGCACACACGCACACACACACACGCACACACACACACACACACACACACACACATCTCTCTATAATTGAGGACACTCATTGACATAATGCATTCCCCTTACTCTTATCTTAACCATCATAACTAAACCCTTACCCTTACTTCTGACCTAAACCTAAATCTAACTCTAAGACCAAGTCTTAACCCTCAAACAGCCCATTTAATTAATTTGTGTGGACTGGTCAGAATGTCTTCACAATGATGGTATTGAACCAAACCTGGCATCATAACAGATAGACATGTCACACACACATGCACAATAGGAAAGATTTTGTTCGTTATTGCACAGAACTACAGTATTTTTACCTTCATGAAAAATGATGTGCATATATGTCACATTATGGTTAAAGAAGTGTATTTATTGTTAATTTTATTCATTGTAATATGATATTTATTCATGTTCCACTCATATGTGAACTGGGTTTCGATTTTTAAAATATCAAATGTGAGCTGGAAGTAAATTTGGGAATGCTGTGAGCACTGTTTTGCAATTGTTCCGTGTATCTTTTATTCTGAATGTTTCTTTCTTTGTATATAAAATAAATGTCTCTACTTTTTAGTTGCCAGTATTTCTGTTTGACAGGAGAAGTAGAAAGGAGGACAGTTTGGTTGTGTGGAGGTTTTCCTTTTAAAAAAGAGAACAGAGAGAAGAATGATGCGAATAGAGACAGTTTGCCAACAAACATTCATGCAGCCCAAACTTTTTAGCTCTGCTTTAACTGGCTGACTATACACAGATGGAGGAGATAGAACTGATGCTGATAAAAATAATAATCATTTCAACGACTGTGTTTCCTAAAGAAATGTCTGAATTTACAAATCAATGGTGATTAGACAGGGAGCAGAGGAGCAGCAGCTCATTGGAGTATCTTCAAATGTTTCATTTGTAAAACAACCTAAAATATTATGTAGGTAAATAAAACAAAACTAAATGGTAAAGGTACTCAAATCATGATTTCTTCATCAAATGTTTGATAAAAACATAAAATGAAAACAAATAAAATACATAACATATTTGAATTATATACATTATTCTAGATTTTGAAAAAAGGCGGAAGTCTGAAAATATTTGGTATCTCTGCTTTAAATATAAATTAAAATAATACTTGGTTATGAAAACTGTTTATGAATGTGAACTTTT